TTCTTCTGGTATTCTACTTTTCACCAGGATCCATCTGACATCAGCAACGATAGCCTCTTCTGAATCTTGCTTGATCTAGAAGTTCCCTATCTATGTACTGTTTTAGCCATTTTTGAATGATCTTCAGTAGTGTTTTGCTTGCATGTGATTAATGATATTGTTTGATAGTTTCCGCTTCAGTTGGATCACCATTCTTGGGGATGGGAACAAACATGGGCCTCTTCCAATCACTTGGACAGACAGCTATACTCCAAATCTCCTGGCATACAACAGTGAGTGCATCCAAGATGGCATCTGTTAATTAAAATAATTCAATTGGTATCCCATCAATTCCTGGGGTCTTATTTTTTCCCCAATGCCTTCAATGCAGCTTCTACTTCCTCCTACATTCCTATTGGCTCCTGTTCATATTGTACTTCCTGGAATTTTTCAGTGTCAATCAATTCTTTCTGGTACAGTGATTCTGTGTATGCCCTCCATCTTCTTTTGATGCTTTCTGGGCCATTCAATTAAAAAAAAAAGGCTTTTGAAAGATTCTTTTAAGGGGATAAATAAAAGTGAGCAAAAAGTCTTTAAATTAGATTTGATGCACTGAACATGAATGACTGAAGAACAGATAAGTTGTGGGATAACACCAAGGATATCATCAATGAAGAGGGGAAAAGTTATTAACAATGTAAAAAATAAAGAAAAATGAATGTCAGGAGAGATTCTGGAATTTGCTATTGAATGGGGAGAATAGAGAAGCTAAAGCAAAAAGAAATTATTAATTAAGTAAGAGATCTGAACAGAAGACTTCAAAAGTTCATGAAGACAAAGAAATGAATTGTAATGAAACACACAGACCTGGAATTAGAAAACCAAAAGAGAAGAATATGTTTGGCATTTCTCAAGCTGAAACTGAAGAAAAAAAGAAATTCAAGCCTTGAGTTGCAATACTGAAGGATCTATGGGCAAAATATTGAACAACACAGGGAATCTCAAAAGATGATGGAAGGAACACAGTCACTGTACCAAAAAGAATCAATTGACATAGAATCATTTCAGGAAGTAATATGAGCAAGGACCAATAGTACTGAAAGAAGAAATCCAAGCTCCACTGAAAGAACTGGCAAAGAAATAGGACTCCAGCAACTAACAGAATACTATGAAACTGGACTCTATGAGGAGTGTGGGATCAGGATTTGAAGGAAGCATAAACAACCTACATTATGCAGATGACACAATCCTGCTTTATGAAAATGAAGATCTGAAGCACTTACCAAAGATCAGAGTACAATCTTCAGTATAGATCAACATAAAGAAAGAAAAATCCCCACAACTGGACCAGTAAACATGATCAAGATAATTGAAAATACTGAAGTGTCCAGGATTTCATTTTACCTGGATCTCCAATCCAAGCAGCAGTTATCAAAAGACATAGTGCACTGGGAATCTGCTGTAAAGTACAGTGCTGAAGAGCAATGTCAGCACTTATTCCACCCCTTTTAAATTGTAATTTTAACTAAAGTTCACAGAAAAGTTTCTTTTCATTGTTATACATTTTCCACCCTACCCCAAGTTCTTTTTTAAAAAAATTAGTTGTTGCAATTTCCTCCCTCACCTAGTCCACTTTGCTATGCACCTGTTGTTCTAGACTGTTGTCATACAAATAATGCCTCATCATATATTCCTTTTAAACAGTTCTTTCCCTCATCTGTTCCAATCAGTGTTCATTATGTATCCCCTCTTTTCTTAGTTTACCCCTACCCGCCGTATCAGTCCTGCTTTATAACAGTAGTGTTACGAACTATTTGTCCCGCTTTATAACAGTAGTGTTACGAACTATTTGTCCCTTTGTGACTAAGATATTTCACTCAGCATAATGTCCTCCAGGGTAACCCATGTTGGGTAATATTTTTCAAGTTCCTTGTTTTTTCAGTGCTGCATAGTCTTCCATTGTGTGAATATTTCATAGGTTTTTTTATCCATCATTGATGGGTTCTCAGGTTGCTTCCATCTCTTTGCTATTGTGAATAATGAAGCAATAAACAAGAATGTGTATGTCAGATTAAAGACTAAGTTATGTCTGACTCACATCATGGTATTTTAAGTTGCTTAACATACCTCTTGAAGTTGGACAATGAATAAGGATGATTGAAGAATTGTTACCTTTGAATTGTAGTGTTGAAGAGTATTCACTGTGCCATAAATTACCAAAACAACCAACCACTCCATCTTGGAAGAAGTGCAGCCAGAGTGCTCCTTAGAGGGAAAGGTGGAGAGACTTTGTCTCACATACATTTGAGCCTATTATCAAATGGGCCATTCCATGGAAAAGGATATTATGGTTGGAAAAGTTAAGTCAATAAAAATCCTCAGCTAGACAGACTGCACAGTGACTTCAACAATGGGTTGAAGAGTGGGAATGATGATTTTGACATAGGGTCAGACCAAGTTCCAATCTGTGGTACACAGTACTGCTGAGTTGTAGTTGACTCAAGGGCACCACCAACAAAAGCAATTTTGTGAAAACAAATCTAGAGGTGCTATTCAGAATTAAAGATTTTAAGTATAGCTATCCTCTCTCTGAGTGGGGTGGAGCTCCCCGATTAAAACAAGCTTGGAAGGAGGAGTGGCATCAACTTCCTTAATAGCTTGCCTCCGGAAACCCTATGAACCTGGAGAGAGGATGAGACACACCCAAGTGTTGAGGACTCTCCTTCACAGGGTCGCTATGAGTCGCCTGCAACTCGACGGCACTTAACAACATCCTCTCTCCATTCCAGTGACTGTTAAATCCTGTCAGAACTGATCACTGATGGTGCAGGCTGCATTCCCGAGCACATCTTTTAGCTGCCACACCAAAGTAACTGGTTTGCTAGGTAGTGAGGTAAGGGAAATTGGGGCACAAAGGTAAGTGGACGCTCACTTTTATGTGATGAGGCTGCATCTCTGTATGGTGCCAAAGTGACTGGGGATTAAAAACAGGAAAAAAAATCAGTTTTTTGACAAAATTGATTAAAACTAAGATTCAACCACAGTATCAAACATTGCAGATTTTATGATGCACCAAGGATGACGCAGAGAACTATTTAGGTCCTCTATAATAGCATGTACCAAAATTGGATTTCTATTATTCCTCACAATCTAAGTGAAGTCACTGTCCCTTTAAAACATTATACTTTTCATCAGACACTTCACTGGAGGAGGGGCAATCTCCTCCTGTGCCAGTCAGATCTGACTTGATGGTACAAGGGACGGGGGAAGAATAAGAAAAAAAATATACCTTTTTGAAAAAATAATGTACCTATACCTTCTGACTTCTACTTTTTCATCAATACCTTGCTGTTTCCTCAAGATTCATTTCAGCTAGCAGCTAAACCCAAGATTGACTTGCTGGTATCTTCCTTACCTCATCAGTCAAGGATTAATACTTGGCAGAGATACTTTATAGAATAAACCCACCCTGGTCTTGGCAGAATGAGTAACGGCTAGCTATGTGAAGGTTCCTGGGCAGAGCAAATTTCCAACTTCAGAGACGTTTTTACCCAAAACCACTGTTAGTGATTCCAACTCAAGTGACCCTGTAGGACAGCACAGAATTGTTCCATAGGGATCTCTTGGTTTATTTGTTGTTGCTGATTGTTGTCAAGTCAAGCACTACTCATAGCAACCCTATGGAAAAAAAAGGGCCTGAAGCCTTTCTGTAACTATCACCATTTATCAAAATTAGTTTCGAGAGGCATGTTGTCTATGAAGTGGATGTTACTCTTGCTTCTTGGGCTATAGATCTTAATTTTCATTTTATACTGGTTCATTTACAAAGTTCATATACATTGTTTTTCACACCGGTTCTTTCCCATTTCCTTCACTTCCTCTCCACCCATCAAATTGTGCAGCCTCATGATTAAACCCCCCACCCCGTCCATCCTCACCCCTCTGTAACTCTCCCCCCTTGCATCCTCACACTTGTTCTACAATCATGGTTTAATAACATTATTTGTCCTTATGGAATTGAGTTCGTTCACATAGCATAATGCTCTCCAGTCCCTCCCAAGTTAGGCAATAATTTACAAAATCATTGCTCCTGTGTGCTGCATAGTATTCAATTATGTGAATGTACCATAATTTCTCAATCCATTTGATTGTGGTTGGACATTAGGGCTGTTTCCATGTTCTTGTGATGGTGAACAATACTGCTACGAACATCGGTGTACAAATATCCATCTGTGCCTCAGTTCTCATGCTCTTGGGGTATATTCCAAGCAGTGGAATAGCTGGGTCATATGGAATGGGCTATAGGTCTTTGTAACTGTAAATTGCCTCATCTTTCTCCCACTGAGAGGCTATTGATTCTAATCACAGACCTTTTGGCTAACAACCTGATGCTTAATCCACTATGCCTGGAGGGCTCTTCCTACTAAAGACGTTAGGAAATGAACCGCATGACCACCTTACTAATAAAGCTAAGTATTAAATGAAGGTAACAGAAGCTACACACACGCACGCACACACACACACACACACACAAAGAAGCTGAAGAATAAAAAATATGGTGGAAAAGAACTCTTTCTAGTCAATAAGCCTAAATATTTTCAAAATAGAGTTCCATAAATTGTGCAACTCTCCTAAAAATCCACTCAGTACTTTAATTGCTCCCACACACTTACTCAGCATCAACTGGTAAGTTAGGATTTAAGATTGTAAAATGCACTATGCATCTACTCTTTGCAGGATTCGATCAAGAAGCAAGTTGTGTTGAACAAAGTCCTTTTGGATATCATTTCCAAAAGTGGTGTCAAGGAGCTCTGGTGGCCTAGCAGCAAGCAGCTGCATTGCAATCCCCAAAGTGGTGTCACTTTGTCAATACACTGAACCTCTTTTTATCAGTTTCCTATCAACCACAGCATCAAAGACTTCGGATTAAATAAGTGTTTAAGAAAGTGCTAAAGTTATAAATGGACACTATAAAGTTTTTACTGTCTGGTTCATTACAAACGTTCTTGACTGTCCTGCAGGAGCAGCTGGAGGAAATGGAGGAACGACAGAGGCAGTTAAGAAGCGGAGTGCAACTCCAGCAGCAGAAGAACACAGAGATGGAGCAGCTAAGGATCAGCCTTGCTGAGGAGCTCTCAACCTTTAAGTCAGTTTTTGCGGCCTCTCAAATTACATCTAACACTGGCTGAGGGGGGAAATAGGGAGGAAAGACATTGTTCAGGAGAAATTATTTTCAAATTGTGGTCATTCAGGAGCAGATGGAAAACAACTCTCTCTTTTTTTTAAAGGGCTATGTTACCCAAGAGGCCGGAACAAGCTGAGACTCCTCCTCCTCAGACAGGTGGAACAGACACACAGTCTTAAGGTGATTCTTATGGGTAGAAGAGTGGTGTGGTTATCCTGCTTTCCTAACTTACACTAATGTCTTTTGAAAATTGTGTCTAAAGAAAACCATCTCATCAAAATGCCTGGTTCAGATATTCAAGAGGTCTTTTGTTCTAAGTTGGGCTCAAGAGTTGCCTTGAAATTCTAACAAGATCATGGTAGAATCAAACTATCAGAGCGGAGCGGATTTTGGGTTAGTAGTGCAACTCCCTATAGAGTATGCCATTAGAACTCTCTCATACATGAGCTGTCATACCGTCAAGTTGGAACCAATTCACAACTGCCCCTTCAGGGGTTTTTTAAAGGCTGTTATGCTTATAAAGGTGGAAGGAGAGTGCAGGAGTGGAAGATCCTAGAGGAGATGGATTGACTCAGTGACTGGAGAAAAGGGATTAAGTCTGTCAGAGATGATGAGATTGGCTCAGGATAAGGCAAGGTTCAGAGCTATTGTACAAAGGGTTGCTATGAGTGGCAAGTGACTTGATGGCACCTAACAATAATCAAACAGAAGACTTCATTGTTCTCTTGTAGAGCAGATGGTGGACTTGGATCACAAGCCTTCATATGCTAGATACCTGTAATTTGTTTTTCCCCCCATAATTTTTAACTTCCTATTTATATTTACATTTCTGATACAGACTTAACTACTGCAATTCCTATCTTGGATTTTATTAACTGTGTTACATAAGACTTAAACATATTTCGAGATGACTAGAATTTTGTAGAGGCACTCTGGTGGCGTAGTCCATAGTGAGATATACTAATCCAAATGCTGCACATCTTTGGTGGCTCAAATCCACCACCAGTTTCTGGGCAAAGATGGGCAATCTTATTTTTATTTATAGCCTCAGAAATCCAATGAGGTGTGTGACAATGAGTGCAGAACTCACTCGACGGGAAACTTTGAGAATATTGAAACCGATGAAAGTACATTTGATCAATACAACAAAAAAAAACGAAACTGTAAATTTTTAGCTAATCTCCTACTAGTGACACAGAAGTCACCATTCTAAGACAAAAAAAAATTACTATTTTTCTATTTGGTAGGGGTGTCTCTCTGAAGACTAAGGTGCATCTGATACAGGCCATGGTCTTTGCTATTACTTATGTAACAGAGTTGGACAGTGACTAAGGAGGATAGGAGTATTGATGCCTTTGAGCTGTGGTGCTGGAAAAGAGTATTGAGGGTACCACGGACTGCTAGGAAAAGAGATTCATCCTGGAAAGTATTAAATCGGGCGGCTCCCGGGAGGCAAGGATTCTGAGGCTCCGTCTAACATACTTTGGCTATTTTTAAGGAGGGACTGGTCCTTGGAGAGGAACATCATGCTTGGTAGGGTGGAGGGATAGCGCAGGATGGGAACGCCCTTTGTGAGGTGGACTGATTGTGACTGGGGTAATCGGGATGGGTGTTATCGGTGACAGTGTGATTGGCACAGGACAGAGCAGAGATTAGGGATGTTGTACATAGGGTCACTATGAGTCACAGGCACCTCGAGAGCAAGTAGCAACAAAGGGGAAATCCATCTCTGATCTTATGTACATTAGTCTATCAAGCTCCCTCTAACAGAGCCTGCATTAAAAAAACTTCAGAAATGCTTTATAAACTTCCTAGTCTATCATTTCAAGTTGCAGAGAGTATAAACTTAACAGTTTCCCCCCCCCTCCCAACTTTACAGGAGCTGTTTAGAAATCTATGGCTGAATCTGCAACCCATAACAAAAATACTTCTTAGCAAAGGATCACTAAGTGCCCACTGGACATACTTTCTTCTAGACAAGAGTGCCAGGGACTTGGCAAACAATGCATCCTGTGAAAACTGCAAACGCAAGCTGATGTATTTAAAAAGATTCTGGGATTGGCTGGAAGCAGAATACTAGCCAACCTGCAGTAGGATTTTATTTCATAGGCTGCTGGTACTGATCTCAATGCAGAAAAATGGAAATAACAAGTCTCCTGTCCTCCAGAAGCCACCCTCATCTGCACGGAGTCAACAGATGAATGTATGGACACAGATGAGTGTTGTGAAGAATGTACTAGCCTGTTAACCCAAAACTCTTTTTTGAGGTGGTGTGTCAGTGATGGCGACAAGGCCCACAGGAGTCAGAAAGGCAGCTGGTTTTTATTATATGGTAAACAAATTTGAATTCTTTTGTACCATGAGTTAAATGGAGACTTCTACAAAGCTTACTTTTTCATAAGGGTTACAATGACTTTTATGGTTCATTCTTACGTCAAGATAATATTCACTACTGACTTGCAAAGAATCAGTTCAGATTTTAACCTAGAAGTTAAGGCTGTTTAGCGTTCCTTACGGGTTGTAACGAATGAAAATGGTTCTAGAGGTTAGTGTTCTACTCTGTTACTAACTTCTAGGTACATACCTCAGTAGAAAACAAACTGGGGAGTGGCAACCTCTTTGAGAGGGTTCGAATATCTTTTCTAAATTTAAACTCTGCCTCAAATCTTGTCTACCACACTGTCTTTGACACTCTAGAAAACCTATCTAGCCTGGGCAATAGATTTCAGAAGGCTTTTAAAAAAATCGAAGAACACTAACCCACGCACCAGCGGTTCAGTGCTTTATGTGTGTCTTTCACTTTCCTGGAGAAAGAGTAAAGCTCTTTTTTTATAGCTCTGGATCTATTATATTTCACTGTGCACTTGGTAGCCAAAGATCATGGAAAATAATTGCCATCCGAATATCCAGAAACTGGTGTTTGATGTTATACACTCAATAAAATCCAGCAGCTTAGGGTTCTGTAGAAAAGCAATTTATTCCATTATAAGCACTTATACAAGTTAGTCAAGGAGAGTAATAGGCCTGCTGGTGAAACAGTCACCCAGAAGGAAGATGGTGCCAAACTAGTGATCAAGGACTAACTTCTAAAAAAAGCAACTCTTTATCCAGGATTAATTTATTTTTTTAAACAAATAACAGCTATTGATTCACTCTTCTCAACTTAACTGGACAGTCTACCTGTGGTATAACTGTCAGG